GACTAAGCTGAGAGGTACTGGTGAACTTCAGCTTTTCCAAATTCTTGAATATATATATGTCAGAGACGTTTGAACCAGAGCGCCTCCATCTTGAATAGGAGCTGGGTAACGTAAGGCTGGGACCTACCGGGCTGCATTCCCAGGAGGTTAGGCATTCTTAGTCACAGGATGAGATAGGAGGTCAGCACAAGATACAGGTCACAAAGACCTTCTTGATAAAAGGATTCGGTAAAAAAGCCAGCCAAAACCCACCAAAATCAAGATGGCAACTAGAGTGATATCTGGTCGTCCTCACTACTCATTATACGCTAATTATAATGCATTAACATGCTAAAAGACCCTCCCACAAGCACCATGACAGTTTACAAATGCCATGACAATGTCAGGAAGTTACCCTATATGGTCTAAAAAGGAGGGTTTTTAGGAGTTGCCACCCCTTTCCTGGAAATCTCATGAATAATCAAACCCTTGTTTAGCATATAATCAAGAAATAATCATAAAAATAGCCAACCAGCAGCCCTCAGAGCTGCTCTGCTTATGGAGCATCATTCTTTATTCCTTTACTTTCCTAATAAACTTACTTTCACTTTACAGATTTGCCTCCAATTCTTTCTTGCACAAGACCCAAGAACCCTCTCTTAGGGTCTGGATTAGGATCCCTTTCTGGTAACATATACGCCTTTCTAGTGACAAGGGTGTACAACAGAACACATAAGAAATCTGTTCACAGAAGTGTAGCTTCTTTAAAAACAAACTGAACACCAATTCAATCAGAAGACATTTCATGTAGATATAAATAATTACTTTATAGCTATGATGACATGTCTCAATTTGCCTGGAACAATCCCATTTTATTGATAGCACATGAGCAACTCTCAAACATGTCCTGGATTGGATCATAAATTGTACGGCCAATGGCTAGCAAGACTGTATAGCACACTTCTGATTATTAAAAAAATAGCAAACATGATGATCTTCTGATTTATTTAACATCTAGGAGTGTCTTGTAATGATTTTTTTAAATTAACATGGTTCAGTCTGGATGCCAATATTTGATAGATATTAGCCATTACAGATTGGCTCAGCTACAAGTCTTACTGTGGATAAACAGTAGTATTAATACAATGTATAATGATATTAATAACACTAGAAATTGTAGTGTGACTGGGTATAATGGTTGCTGCTGAGAGCCTATGAAACTTCATCTACATGAGTCCATTAAACTTTTTTTAAAGGTTATTTTTTGGCCGGGTGCAGTGGCTCACGCCTGTAATCCCAGTACTTTGGGAGGCCGAGGCGGGTGGATCTCCTCAGGTCAGGAGTTCGAGACCAGCCTGACCAAATGGCAAAACCCTGTCTCTACCAAAAATACGAAAATTAGTGGGACGTGGTGGCGGGTGCCTGTAATCCCAGCTACTGTGGAGGCTGAGGCAGGAGAATCGCTTGGACCCGGGAGGCGGAGATTGCAGTGAGCCGAGATCGTGCCACTGCACTCCAGCCTGGGCAATAAAAGCGAGACTCCATCTCAAAAAAATAAATAAATAAATAAATAAATAAATAAATAAGTTTTTTTTTTTTATTGACAAGTAATTGTACAGATTATATATTAATGAGGTATTTTGAACCATGGAACTTTTATACTGTACAACAACCTTGCAAGGGAGAGACCACTGCCAGTACTACGCCTAAGGAAAGAGTCTCAGGAATCGCCAGCTGACTTTCTCACGGTGGAGGTGGAGGAAAGATGTTGGCTCCTGTCTGTCTCCAGCTGCAATCTACATTCTTTCCAAGCCAGCGTTCCGCTTCTATTATGGGCATGTTTCATGTTTTTCATCCTCTCTTTTGGGTAACAGAAAATAGCATTTGTTACTCCATAAAAAAAAATCTTAAAACAATATTTTTCCATTCCTCAGGTAGGAAGATAACATTTATGCATTTATGACTTTTATTGGAAGAAAAAGAACTCAAAGAATATTTCAACCTTTTGCCTAAAATTGTATCTACTTGTATGAAATGCACTCACTGAAATGATCATTGCAGCGCCTGCTGTGTATTTTATTTGCTCATCTTTTTAAATATCTGAATGCCAAAAGTTTAAAAACATTTTTTCAAGACCGATAATAGGAGCTTCCTACAAGCAAAAAGTAAATGCCACCTAGCCGTTTTCAAGAGGACAGTAGTAAATGCAAGATCCATGATAAAAACCAACGCAGTCACATTTTAAAGTCTCTATCGTCCTGTAAAATCAGCAAACTTGGCACATTTCATTCCATCAAATGAAAGGGGGTCTGTAGTGTGCTTGGCTGTTCCACACTAGCTCATTGGAGGAATGTAAATAGACCCGCACAGAGATGCTAAATCGCTTCTTTTATTTCTTCCCCACCAATTTTACAGCTCTCTGTTATCTCATGACTTTTAAAAACTCTCCATAACAAAAAGTAGACTTACAATTTTTCAATTAGTTTTTCTTTCCTCTAAAAAAAGTGTGTATAATTTCCAGGCTAATTTGCAAGATGTGCAGTTGATTCACGAAGGGACAAAACTGATGAAAAATCATAGTGTAGAGTTGCTTGATACAACTGAGCTTTAGGGGGGAAAGGAGATCAATTTCTTTCGAAACTCAATCTTATCAGACACATCAATCCATCACACATGCAACTGAATAGTCTGTGATTCCAGCAAAGCAAGAATTTTCTCGATGCCCACTGCCTCCTTCAGAAAAGGATGCCCAAGCTTTCTTCCGTGTGGCCCTGCTACAGGCAGTGCACACACTGCTCCCTTTGAAGAAGGCCTGTGCAGTACCCTCACACGTACTTTCCTCCTTCCACCTCTTTGTCAGAATGGACCTTTTGTAAAACATCAAGAAGCACAATTTTCTGTTTCCAACACTAGTAGTCAAAGCAACTATCCAGCGCCTCTGAAAAATATTCAGTGAAGCATGCCATTATCGCTATGCAAAGGTTCAGAGACATTATTCTGCCAAGATGTGACTCACAGAAAACCACAAAAATTATAGGAAATAAAGCCAACGATACAATAAGTTTTTTGACACTAAAAGGTTTTTTGGTGGTGTTTATTTTCTTCAACGTAGAAACCAATCTGGAACCTTGAGTTCTTTATCAATGTTTCAAAAGACACAACTTTAGCAACACCTGTGACTGACTTGCATTTCAAAGTAATAAATGCATTTCTCCTAGGGTTTCTTACACCACCTCTTAGGGTTTCTCAGCAGTTCACCACCTCTTAGGGCTCCTTACAGGTTAATGTTTTCACATAGGGGAAAAAAAAAACACTCAGAATGAAATGAAGTCATCTGATTGAAAATAAAATATTCTTGGCAATATTTAACTATTTGAAGAAAACACTTTTAGTCATATTTCTTGTTTGAGAGACCTCCTTTAGTCCATTTTATTTTGTTTTTTATTTTAACTAATTATTTTATTGTTTATTTATTTTATTTATTTTTTTATTTTTTTGAGAAAAGTCTCGCTCCATTGCCCAAGCTGGAGTGCAGTGGTGCTACCTCTGCTCATCGCAACCTCAGCCCCCTGGGTTCCAGAGATTCTCCTGCCTCAGCCCCCTGAGTAGCTAGGATTACAGGCACCTGCCATCAGGCCCAGTTAATCTTTGTATTTTTAGTAGAGACTGGGTTTCACCACTTTGGCCTGGCTGTTTTCGAACTCCTGACCTCAAGTGATCTGCCTGCGTGGGCCTCCCAAAGTGCTGGGATTATAGGCGAGAGCTACCACGCCTGGCCTCCATTTTATTTTGTATTTCATATTGTATCATAATCACACTGCAACCAATATACACATCTCTGTCATGGCTAACTTGTTAAAAATTTTATTTTCTACACCACTTCAATGCATGTTTGCCTGGAAAACAAATGTTTTTACATAGGTCTAGGAATATTATTTGCAAACTAACCAACACTAGGAAAGGCCATCTCAGAAGGTACTGAAATCTTACCCTGAAGACGTATAATTTTCCAACCTACAATTAAAAGAAGATGAATGACGGTCGGGCGCGGTGGCTCACGCCTGTAATCCCAGCATTTTGGGAGACTGAGGCGGGCAGACCACGAGGTCAGGAATTTGAGACCAGCCTGGCCAATATGGTGAAACCCCGTGTCTATTAAAACTACAAAAATTAGCTGGGCGTGGTGGCATGAGCCTGTAGTTCCAGTTACTTGGGACGCTGAGGCAGAAGAATCACTTGAACTCAGGAAGCAGATGTTGCAGAGGTTGCAGTGAGCCAAGATTGCACCACTGCACTCCAGCCTGGGCGACAGAGTGAGACTCCGTCTCAAAGAAGAAAAAAAAAAAAAAAGAAAGAAAGAAAAGAAATGAAATATCAAAACATGGAGGAACTAAACTTGAATTTCCATGTATTCAGCCTTTAATCATAGATCATCAATGGAACAAAAGCCAACTAACAGGTAAGTTTCCTTGCATGCAAATGCAATGGAACCAAAACAACAGATCTTCCAAAGGCTCAACATGATCAGTTAGAGAATTGGATAAGATAGTTTCCTCCACACAATATACTGAGTCATAGAATGACACAACCAGAAAAGAAAGCTAAGATCTATGGCCATTCCCAACCATGATATCACCAAATATGTGTTCATTGTACAGGTCTATGTAGACAAACATATATTCATTGAACTCCAAGGGAGAAACATACTTTAAATAAAATTTCATTTCATCTTGAAGATCTTAAAGTCTGCATTGTTTTGAGGAGGGATTCAGGTTCCACAAAATAAAATTATTGGATCAGAAATTGCAAGCTTAAAAAAAAATAATAAAACAATAAAATGACCATGTTGCACGAAGGTAGTAAAAGGAATAAACATATCTGATCACATAAAGTAAATACCGTAAAGTCGAATTAACCAGGAACTGGAATAACAGGATTCAAATCCACGAGCCCTGTCAAAATAAGAAGTGGACCTTTCATGTTTCCGGTTGCTCAGTCATTCACACGATGACATCACTTACCTAGTATTCCCAGACGGTAGTTAATAGTGATCACGATGACATTTCCGTAGCTGGCCAAAATGCTGCCGTCAATCATGTTGCCGGTGCCCTCCATGTAAGATCCCCCATGGATATAGACCATAACCGGCTTCTTACTGTTCTGATCATGAATATCTGGGAAAAAAAGCCAAGTAAAGAAACACAATAAAGAATCACACTGACTCACCAATGCTCAATTAAGAACAAAGGAGATTCACTGATTTCCTTATTTTGACTTGAATTAAGCACATTTATTTTTATGGCTGATACGACCGTTGATAAGAGCTTCTAAGGAAAATGATCAGTGCCATTGCGTTTTCTATTGACGGAAATGGTATTTTAAGAAGCATACAGATATTTGGCATCCTCTGCTCATGTAAGCTTCTATATATATCTAAAGCACTAAAAGACATGGTTTTAGGTAAAGTACACATTTCCTAAATTTTGCTCAAACCCTAAAATGTGATTTAAATGGAATAAACACATGGAATCCTTGACAAAATATATTTTATATTCTAATTAAGTATAAAATCAACTTCAAAATTATAATTAATTTTAATATAGTTGCGTCTTAATTCGCAGGTGAGTGTACAGATTCATTTTCAATTTAACAATAAAAACATAAGAGTAGTAGTGAAGCTATAAACTATCAATAAGGGACAGATAATGACAAGAAAGCAAAATCAATAGTTAAAAATTAACAGAACAGAAATAAGGGAAAAAAAGGAAGGATGTCCAAGCAAATGTCTTTGTTCCAGTGATTACAGTAACATACTAACATACTTAAGTGACAAAAATAAAAGAGATGTAATAAAAAATGGCAAAATAATCAAAATTATTTGAATGCTTTATATTTTCACGGGGACTATAAACTCCCATTGTGACTTGCAACCAAAAATTCCTCTTAATAATTTACTTTATTATTTAAATTAACAATGATGTAAAAACAATGATCTGTGATGATAGGAAGCTGGGGACCATCTGTAGGGCCTGCTTTGTGAAAAGTTATGATTAAATAAACTGTTTATAACATTAATCAGCAATTAGGGCTACATTTAATCTTTAGAAGACTGACCTCACCTATAAATATTTCTGGATACAGATATGTGTGTGTGTGTGTGTGTGTGTGTGTGTGTGTGTACAAACAATTTAAATATCTTTGTTACTAAAAGATATGTATGCATATTGATTTCCAATTTTTTCTTCAATAAAGTTTTTTTTTTCCTCATAATTCGCAGGGACACTTTTGAGATATTGGAAAAGAATTCTGAGGATATGAATTACCATCGTTTGGACGGTGGCTCCAATTTGAATGAATTACGATCACAATTTTCCTGGGTGTACATAGAAGACATGACATACCTACTGGTCACAGTAAAGCACACAAAACAGTGTCAAGTTACCCAAGTATTTCTTTGCAGATATTTAATCCACGGCAGAAAAGTGGCTTTTATTTCTCATATTAAATTCAAATATAAAGTAAAAATCTTCTATTAATCATTTATTCATCATATACTTCGGGAAATGTCTTCTGCTATATGAATAAGAAATGGCTTTTCTCCTGATCCACTGCTTCTTTCTGATTCCTAATTTGCTGTTTTTGGCCTCATTTCTTTTACCATTACCAGCGGTTGTCTAGTAAATTGTGGAAAAAAGGGTAAGTAGAGATTTTGAAGGGCTGCTTTAAAGTGCTCCCTTGGAAAACAAGTGAGATTAACATCTCTTACCTTTCATAAAACATAGAACAAGACTCTCTTGACCTTGTGGAAGTAATAACCAGTTGTCATATTAATCATGAAAATTAGATGGCATTTTAATGGTAATAAAGATTCACTGGGAACATTGTGAAAACAGGTCCTAATTATCAAAGGGAAATGTATTAAAAAGAGAAAGCCAAACAGGATGCAAATTATAGCAGTATAAGTTATGAGACAACAAAAGTTTATTTCATTTTTATGTATTTGCTCAATGCTGATAAAATGTCAGGCATTCAGAAGCCCTTATCAAAGAAGGGGCTACCTGAAGCAGGTGTAGATTTTGATCTTCCATGGCCATCAGAATTGAGATCTCTCAGAGAGCTACTTGAGGCAGTGACAGCCCTATGAGCTCAGTAAAAATAATACTATTCAAAATGTTAAGGGAAGACTGGGCATGGAAAGGGTGTTGGCAAGATTTCTCGGAGAACAGTTGATTTATGAAGATAAGCAAGGCGGGGAGCAACTACAAGAATTGGTCAAAAGACCCTGTTATGGCCGTTGGTCCTGACCAGCAAAGATAATTCAGGACTCACTTTTGGGCTTTAAATTGCCTTTCAGACAGAGACCCAAAGGTCCAGCCAGGGCCTTAATGGAGCTCCATGCATTTTGCTTCCCAGACGGGAAAAATGTGCTTTTAGCTAATCCTACAGAGCCTTACCAATGAAGAAGGGCTTGCTTGCTTCAGTACTTTTTTTGTTGCTTCCCCTCTTTTAAAAAAAATCATTTCTGGTACAGGAAGGGCAGAAAAACAGCGTGCAAGTTGTCTGTATGAGTACCTCAGACCTACCATCTTTTAAAAAAAATCCTTTCACTTCTGGTAGATAATGTGTTGAGCAATTTGGTAGCCTTAAGAAGAAACTTCACAGCAACAAAACATTTTAAGGAGAAAAATGTTTTCAAAAAAAGCCATAGTGTAAAAAGAATAGCTAGCTTTTTGTCCTGTCTCAGTTCTGAGATAATCTTTTTTTTTTTTTTTTTTTTTCCTTTAAATGCTGTAAAAGGCAGTCCTGAAAGCATCAGGACTCGTTAACAACAGCATCTCGTTAAAACACTTTTTGGTGTACTTCACTGTGAGAAGATTATCAGAAATCTGTGTTGGAATCAATATGTTTGTGAAGAAAAAAAAACCTGATATTTCAGCCCCCCCCCCAAAAAAAATTATTCTAAGATGCTTCAGAGTTTTGCAGTTTATAAAAATAATGAAGAAGACCAAAGCTCCAAAGTAGCATATTAACTTAAAAAATAACATTTGGAAGGAAGAAAAAAGACTATACATGCATGTTTTAAAATTCCATTTTCTCTTCTTGTGACCAAGCCAAAAAAAAAAAAAAAAAAGATGGGCTTTTCTGTAAACAGTAGTTCATTACTCTTTTCATGTTTAGAAACAATGTTTATGCTTCTCAGAGTGATTTGTTTCCTGTACACGGTAACTGGGATTAAAAATGACAGTGGTTTCTATACAAGAAGAAAATAATTAAAGAAGCACACCAAAGTGTACTAGTGTTAAATAAGGGGAGACAAAACAGATTGAAATGAAAAAAAGAGAGAGATAGATAGATATAAAATCATGCATCAGGGTTGAGCTTTGAAAAAACAAAAAATACCTTCATCTTCACCACGGTCATTACTGGTTATATCATCTGCGTTTTTCTTTGTGTTGGCTCCTGGGGTCATATTGAGAAGGAAAATAAAGGGAAAAAAGAGAATTCAAAAACAACAGGTTTGCAAAAAATTCAGAAAAGAGAGAGATGCTACCCAGTAAAAGAAAAAAAAAGAATGTAACACAAAAAGTTGAAATCGGTTACATTTGGATTTCAAAAAAATGAGATAGGGAAATGCAAAATGCATATAAACATAAAGATGTCAAGAAGAACAAATTCAAAATGTTACTTGCAAAAAATATTAGATATCCTGTGAATATGCAGTTGGGGGTTAAAATGATGCTACTGCAAAAAAAAAAAAATGCTAACGTGAGTTGTTTTAAAAAAAAGAGAAATTAAATTATTAGAAAAGATATTTCCCACATTCTTTAAAGAAATGCTTATGGAGTATTCAATGGTCCTCTGATTTTAACATGTTATAATTTAAATGAATTTTTGAATTGTTATTGATACATTATGGTTAGAAATTTTCATAAGGCAAGCAAAAACACACAGTAAACATGGAAGGACTTTAATCAAAACACTATAAAATTGACATTAATTTCATGCATTAAAAACCTATAAACATGCAATCTCAAAAAGTCAGAATTGTTACTAATTTAAATCACTAAGATTTACCTCTACTCTGTGTTTAGAGAAGCACTACCCATTATTCACTCTTGTTTTCTTCTATTAAAATCTACTACATACAATAAATATTTAAGTCAGGACAAAACATTATAGACCATGTCCTATGTGTTTAAAATAGTTATGAAATATCATTTGAAAGTTATGTCCTCTGTGTTTAAAACAGTTATTAAATATCATGTGAAGATTATGTCCTCTGTGTTTAAAATAGTTATTAAATATCATTTGAAAGTTATCGGTACTTGAATTTGTTGAAGAAAATAAAAATCAAAGTCATCTACCTTGATCACCTCAGTAAGAACTGCATAGGAATTTTAATACAGGCACAATGCAGGAAGCGGCCCTGAAGGATGGCACAAACTAGCTTACGGTCTTTCTGCACAGAGAACCATTTTGGTTTTTACACTTTCCACATTTAAATGGTGTGAACATTTAATTTTGCTTGAATTAATTAATTGGCTCCATTGCTTCCTTTTCACAGACAGATGCAGCCCATGTGTGCATATCCCACTATCAATAACTGCGTCAATCAATTAAAACAGCCTTTGCCTTCCTGTAGGGTTCTAGGATAAGTGAATTAAGGCAGAGGGAAAATATTGTCATCTCCAACACTTGCAAATGAAAAACACTCTTCCGTTCTACATAACTCAGAAGAGCTTAAACATATTTTGAAACCAAGACTTGATAATGCTGTTTCTATACATCAAACAAAAGTTAAATAATGTCCATTTCATGGGGGCTTAATACCCTTTAAAACCAGACCTGGGTGGGTGTGATAGCCTTGCTGATCCACTTTCTGTCTTTATAAGACTTGCCTTTTCTAGGCTTTTCATATAAATAAACTCATATAATATATGGTATTTTGTGTCTGGCTCCTTTTACTTAGCACGATGTTTTCAATGTCCTTCCATACTGTAGCATGAATCAATACTTCATTCCTTTTTTTTTTTTTTTTTTTTTTTTTGAGACGGAGTCTCGCTCCGTCGCCCAGGCTGGAGTGCAGTGGCCAGATCTCAGCTCACTGCAAGCTCCGCCTCCCGGGTTCACGCCATTCTCCTGCCTCAGCCTCCCGAGTAGCTGGGACTACAGG